GAAGTAATTAGTTTCCTGAGAAATTCTGAAGTATTTTGAAGTTCTAAATTCACCTTTAAATTAAAATAGTTGTTTCTGAACCAGGGAAGTTATATAGACAGTTCTTTTTTTTTTTTTTTTTGAGACAGAGTTTCACTCTTGTAAGCCAGGCTGGAGTGTAGTGGCACAATCTCGGCTCACTGCAACCTCCACCTCCCAGGTTCAGGGAATTCTCCTGCCTCAGCCTCCCAAGTAGCTGGAATTATAGGCACCTGCCACCACACCAGCTAATTTTTTATATTTTTAGTAGAGGCGGGGTTTCACCATATTGGCTAGGCTGGTCTCAAACTCTTGACCACAGGTGATCCACCTGCCTCGGCCTCCCAAAGTACTGGGATTACAAGCATGAGCCAGCACGCCCAGCCTATAGACAGTTCTTTATTAGAGATTAAGTTGATTCAGATACCAATGTTACAAATGTATTAACATTTTAAGTTTTGTTATAGTGTTATAAATGGCTAAGCATTTTAAAAATTAGCATTTCTACTGGTTCCAGATTTTACAAATAAAGCAAAAACTCAATAATGGAAGAAACAAAATCAGAGTCACACCAAAACACCATGATGTGTTGGGGCCACTGTCCTCTAAAATTTGCAAGCAGACACAAACCAAATCCACTGTGTATAACTTCATGGAAAGACTATTCATCAATTTCAAGTTTTGACTTAACAAATAGCTCCTTCTCGATCGTTTTATCATTTACATCGACTGCTGAAATCTAAAGATTTTCGTAGACTGAGACAAACTTGATTGTTTTCCATGTATTTTTGCTAAATTCGATGCAAGTACTTCCAAGTAGCCCAACGGTTTTCACTGGAAAGAATATGAAGACGACAAGCAGAAGAAGTCGTCTGCTGGGTCACACAAAGATCTCACCACCAAGTTTTGTAAGATTCCAACCTACACTCCCAAACACTTGAGACTTTTTAAGTACTCATGATCGTCAATCTCCATAGGGTCCTTATGTGACTTTATTTTTGTAGTCTGTTCACTTTCCTATTTTCCTCAAATCTCCAACATCCCCATTCCCAATTTCTAGAAGAGCAGGCAATCAGGAGAACCTGAACATCCACCCACTTAAATGCATCAGGCATCAGTTATCATATCCGCTACCTGTGCTCCTATTAACAGGGCTATGCTACATGTTCTTGGCCAAACTCTCCATGTATATACTAGAAACCATCCCCTCTCACTTACCCAAGGCTATGACTCCAACAATTCCCTCCCTTATCAGTATTTCTACTCTCCACTGAACCATTCTCAAAAGCATACAAATACGTTATTTTTCCTAATGCCTGAAAACTATTCTTTCCATGGTCTTCCCCATTTCAGTTAATGGCAGTCGTTCCAGATGTTCAGGCCAAAACTGTGGTATTATTTTTGACTTAACTCACACCCAACTTACAAGCCATCAGCAAATCTTTGAGGTCCTTCCTTCAAAATGTATCCAAAATGCAACTACTTCTCATTACCTTTATTGCTACCAACCTGAACAAAATCACCCTGTCTTTTGTCTGGACTCCTGCATGTGTCACCTGCTTTCATTCTAACTCCCCGACCCCCTTGACCCCTTTTGTTCTCAGCACAACAGCCAGAGGGATCCTGTGAAAACATATATCACTGAATGAATTAATGACTTATTCATAATTCTAAAAACATTTACAAGCCAGTTTTGTGTTCTATTTTTCAAAGAAAATTGAAAAGTTTTCTTCCTTAAATCTTCCTTGTTGTCAGTGAGAAAAAAGTTTAAGAAAATAATGATCATCAAATTTATTCCCCTAAATACTTAACTCACTAAACAGAAAGCCTTTTTTCTACCCAAGAGGGGGTTGCCAAAAGTAAGGGAGCAAGTCTCCATAATGCCTGTCCCTTAGGTAAAGCAACGACATGTGCCCTTTATTTGACCAACCTCTTCCTACCATTAACTCAGTCTCTCTTTTTTTAAAGCTCCCTTGATCTGTTTCTTACAACTAAAAACACCCCTTAATCACCATGTTTCTCTAGATTTGGGATTGTTCTGTTTGGTTCTGATTTGCACACCTGAATTCCAAGATACAGGAAAGGCTGAATCATTGTTCGAGGGAAACTGTTCAAGTAACAGCAATTTTTAAATTATATTTACTTTTTATTTTTGGAGAATAAATTCTTGCTCTGTCACCCAAGCTGGAGGGCAGTAGCACCTCTCAGGTTCAAGCTATTCTCCTGCCTCAACCTTCCATGCAGCTGGGACTACAGGTGTGACCACCACCCCATCTAATTTTTGTGTTTTTAGTAGAGATGGGGTTTCATCATGTTGGCCAGGCTGGTCTCAAACTCCTGACCTCAAGTGATCCGCTCACCTCAGCCTCCCAAAGTGCTGGGATTACAGGTGTGAGCCACCACACCTGGCCTAATTTTTTTTTTTCATTGAGATTGATTTACCTCTCAGTATGGTGACTTGGACTTGAAACCACATGTCCACTGAACAAAAAAATTTTCACTGAGGCATATAACATTTCTTAAATTCCCAAATTCCTTTGTGTTTTTTTGTGCCAGAGACCTTCCTCTAAACTCCAAATAGTACATTTTGAGAAGCCTACAGAAGATGAAAAAGACTAAAAAGAAAGATTAAGCCAGGTGAAGTGGGGGCATGCCTATAGTCCTAGCTACTTGGGAGGCTGAGGCAGGAGAATTGCTTGAGCCCAGGAGTTGGAGGCTGTACTGAGCTATGATCATATCACTGCATTCTAGCCTGGGCACAGAGGGAGACCCTGCCTCAAAAATATTTATAAAAAATAAATGAAAGAAGCCGGGCACGGTGGCTCATGCCTGTAATCCTAGCACTTTGGAAGGCTGAGGTGGGTGGATCACCTGAGGTCAGGAGTTCAAGACCAGCCCCGCCAACATGGTGAAACCCCATCTTAAATAAATAAATAAATAAATGAAAGAGATTAAAACAGTATGTTAACAAGACTGGTATTCATTCGACCTCAGGGATGTTTTAAAAGTAAATAAACTCTAGAACCCTGGACTAATAAATCTACGAAGATGACTCCTTCCAAGCCTTCCCTACCTCTGTATATGGCAACTGTATCATTTCTTTGGCTCAGGCCAAAGCCTCCAGAGTCATCCTTGACCGGCCTTTCTCCTCAGGTCTGTTGCATTTGCTATTCCTTCTGCCTGGAATGCTTTTTCTCCAAATTACCACAGTGTCCCCCTTACCACTTGGAGATTCTCTCATCATTCGGCCTTAGCCAAACAACCCATTTAGATGAGTAAGTTGCCTCCAACATGGTCCTCATGTTCCCGGCTCAGACTCGAAACTCCCCTGATTTTACTTATTTACTAGTTAATTACTCATCTCTCCCTCACAAGAACTCAAGCTCCACAGAGATTTTCGTCTGTTTTATTAACTAATGAATCTCAAATTAGAACATCTGACACACAGTTGGGACTTAAACAACTGTATAATGAATGGAAGTGACTAAGTAAAACTATAACATTTGCTTCAAGAAAGGCAATCATGTGATCCTTAAATTATGCACTTAGTCCCCCTAACAAGTTCTACAAGAACGAAAAATATCTTTTTTTTTTTTTTTTTGAGACGGAGTTTCACTCTTGTTACTCAGGCTGGAGTGCAATGGCGCGATCTCGGCTCACCGCAACCTCTGCCTCCTGGGTTCAGGCAATTCTCCTGCCTCAGCCTCCTGAGTAGCTGGGATTACAGGCACGCACCACCATGCCCAGTTGATTTTTTTGTATTTTTAGTAGAGACGGGGTTTCACCATGTTGACCAGGATGGTCTCGATCTCTTGACCTCGTGATCCACCCGCCTCGGCCTCCCAAAGTGCTGGGATTACAGGCTTGAGCCACCGTGCCCGGGCTAAGAACGAAAATATCTTTATCTAGCATACTGGTGGTAACGTTTAGGCACAAATTTAAGAAGCAAGAAACATGCCTCAGCACCTGTTCAGCGCTTTAAAGCATACAGGATACAGTTCATCCTTTACTTCTACTAACATAAAACAAGAAATTATCTTGAAAATTGCAGGGAGCAGGTGGCATCACAGCTTTACATGATATCAGTTCCTTTTACATACAATCAGGTTCCAACCATGAAGTCACTGGATGCCCTATTATTTTCAGCTGCCAGCATTAATGAGACTCTAACCTTGGCTAATCTTATTGGAAACATGATCTCCCAAGTGCTCTGCTAACATTTTCAATTTCCAAATAAAAGTCCAATATTTTTCTGACCTATTAAAATATTTAAGCATTCAAAAATGTGCTACAAAAGAACCATCTCTGCCTGAAGTACTGAGTTGATTAGTACTCATATTGCCACCAAACAAGTTCTCAGATTCAAAGAGAAAGTTCAAAAAATATTAAAAGAGTAAATGAAAATAACTATTAACGTTAACTAACAATCGGTGGGGGGGGGGTCACTGATATCTAAGGAAAGAAGAGTTACGGAACTCTTTCTCAACACTCGAGTACACCAAAAGTCTGTACAAAGGTCGCAAGTTATTTTCTGTGGCTTTGCAGAAAAAACCATCTAATATCAGTTATCGAGAAAGTTAATACGGCATGGTTTTTAAATTCTCAGTTTCGCATGTTCATCCAATTTACAGAAGCAAAAACAGAGCTAAAATCAGTCTGTTCTACTCCATTTCCATGATTCCTACGTCAGTAAGTTCTTGGGCAACTTGGTGCAATTGGGAGAAAAAAGGTTAATTCAGAAACAATGAAAACGGAACGGACAGTACACTCAGGTGACTCTCACATTCTAACAATAGCGGTGCGAACTTGTTCCCTGCTTGCTCAATCACCAGAACGGCAAGGTTCTAGCAGTGGTGAAGCTTTTCCACAGCCGAAGGGCACCGTCAGGGTCCGCCTTGCAGCTGCCACTCACACCCCCATGACCTCCGCCACCCCCATCCCCCGAAAGCACAAGCCCTCGCTGGGCCCGGGTGGCCCCTCACCGTCACTGCATTTATACTGGCAGAGACCGTCCTCGCCTCCCAGGAGGTCCAAGGCGGCGTTCAGGTACGTGTCTATCTTGTGAACGCCGTTCCGGATGGTCTTCAAGGTGGCCCTCCAGTCGGTGGTCTGGGCCTGCTCCTGGCACCTGACAACAGCGGCCGCGAGGAGCAGCAGGAGGATGAGCGCGGGGCGCGGGAGCAGGGCCATCCGCGCAGCGCGGGGCTCTACGGGTCCCCGAGCCCGGCGGCAGGCGCGTCCCCACGGAGCCCCCGGGACGCGCTAGGCAGCGGAGCGGGCCCGGGGCTTGGCAACCGCCGGCTCCATATCCACGCCTCCTTCCCCGCTGGCCCGCAGGGCCTCGCTGGCTTTACGGGAACCGCCTCTGGGAGGCAGCGCAGTCCCAGAGACGCTTCCGCTCACCTAGGCCAGCGACCGTCCCCTGTGCGCCTGCGCCGGAGCGCGGCGGGGCGGAGCGCGGCGGGGCGGGGCGGAGCGCGGCGGGGCGGGGCGCGCAGGGGGTGGGATGAGGCGGGGGTGGGATAAGGCGGGGGCGGGGAGCCGGGGGTGGGAAGCGCGGAGCAGCGGACGGGGCGGGGCCTCCTCGCCTACAAGATTTCCCCGGTTCCCTCACAAGGCCCTCGGTCCTGGTTCACTAGAGAAGTTTAAAAAATACCCAGGCCCAGGCCCCTTTTCTGGGAACCTGATTACTTTGGTCCTAGGTAATAGGACCTCGGACCAGTGGGCGTCGGTATTTTTTAAAAGCTCTGCGGGCGATTAACCGTGAAGCTGGGGTGCAGAGCTAACCTCGGTGTCCTAACCTGACCAGTCGGGGTTTTCAGCACAGTAGCCCCGAGAGACAGACTTTTCTGGTTGTGGACCATATCGGAGAAAGTAACTCCTGTGTTCGCTTGCAGGGAGCGCTGCGAGAGGTCCAGCTGAGTCTGCGGCTGGAAGACGTGGTTCCGCTGGCAACGTGGGCGGAGTCGGGATCTCAGCTCGAGGAGGGCTTTGCCTCCTCGCATCCTCTCCAGGCCTGCGGTGGCCGCGGTTGCGGGAGCCGGATCTGGGAGATGCCAAGCCAGGCCTTGGCAATGCCTGACTCTAATCAGGACTAGCTAGATGCTAGTTTAGACTTTCTGGGAAAAGAAAATGGTCCAACAGTAAAACTCTTCCCTGGTAAGGAAGAAACAGTCGTGTAAACTTAAATATAGTAAAATAAATAAATAAACTCTTAACCAAGGAAATCACTGTTTTCCTACTCAAGGGATTTTGTAACTTGATAGTTCCAGTGACGTTTGTTTCTCTGTACCCACCCTTCTGCCCCAGCATTGTGCAGAAACCATAAATAACTATTGCAGTAGTACTTTCTACCAGTTATAAATACCTGGTTATCTTAGAATCACAGCAGTTTCCAAGAATTTTACAGTAAGATCCAGCGCAACGTTGAAAGTATTGGACAGGCCAGATACGTTGGCTCACTCACGCCTGTAATTCCCAGCACTTTGGGAGACTCTAGGTGGGTGGATCACTTGAGGCCAGGAGTTCGCGACCAGCCTAACCAACGTTATGAAACCCCGACTGTACTAAAAATGCAAAAAATTAGCCAGGCATGGTAGCAGGCACTTGTATCCCAGCTACTCAGGAGGCTGAGGCAGGAGAATGGATAGAACCCGGAAGGCAGAGGGTGCAGTGAGACAGCGCCACTGCACTCCATCCTGGGCAACAGAGGGAGACTCAGTCTCAATAAATAAATAAATAAATAAATAATAAAAATAAAGTATTGGGCATAGGTGTGTCCTTTCTATAAGAATTACCAGTAAGTTCTAGGTTTGCCCTTTTGTGTTTGTTACAAACTTAAGGAGCTTATAATAAATGTTCAGTGCGTAGTTCATAAAAATTTACTGAGTGCATACTGTGTGCCAGGCACTTCATGAATATGATCGGTTAAGTTCAGAACACTGCTTTACAAGGATGCAGCCTTTGGGTAAGTTAGAAACATAGAAAGGCATTCCCCCTCTACCAAAGGGGTAGCCCAACCCCAGGCTGGAGACTGCCTGGACTTGACTCAGCCCCTCAACGAGGAGTCTTGGGCAGTGATTAATTCCTACCACAATGGAGAATGGGGAAGAATGTTCCCTAGAAGGTATTATTATCTTCACCTTTTACAATCAAAGAGTTGAGGTGAGAAGTCATGTGACAGTATCTAGTCCAAACAAAGGCCTCTGTCTTCACAAAATACCAATGATATTTTTATTTTTAAATTTTTAGACAACACATTTCAATGCATTTAAAAAAGGGAATTTAGAATTACTGTCTTAGCTTTCTGGGACATTGGTTTCTGAGCTCCAAAGTATGGAAGTCAGATTAGATTACCTGTGAGATACCACCACCCGAATCCTTACACCAGGCTTAGTTCTTACAAGTCTTCTTCCAGAGAAACTCCCTAGGCCAGGGATAAGTCTTGAAAGAAAGGACAGAATGTTGTAAAATAACCTGGTTCCAGCTCTCAGTTATGACCCAAAGCCTCTCCTTCTCCCCCTCCACTTCTCTATTTATCTATTCCTTTGTGATCTTTAATTTCTTATACCTTAACTACTACTACTTTGAGGACTCAGAAGTAGTTTGTATGTCAGATCTCTCCTTAGGGATTAACTTCTCAAATGCCAGTTCTTCTGGCTGATGGAGCTGTTCTCCTTCTCTCGCAAGCAAATCTTTTTCACTATCTTTCCCATGGGAATCACCACCATTTTTGTAGAAAACAAGACTCTTAAGTTTTATTTTCACATCCTTTTCACATTTAATCATTATATATTTGTTGTTCTGCTACAGTAATTACAAATTACTTTTTCCTCTTAATTGATGCTGTCAAACACCAGGGATCTGCACTGACCACAGACTATCTATATAATTTGTAGGGCTCAGTGCAAATAAAAATAGAGACACTTGCTCAAAAATTGAGAATTGCAAGGTGATAACAGCAGAGCATTAAAGTAAGTGCAGAGCCCTTTTGAGTGTGCAGTCTTGTGCCATTACACAGGATGCATGCCCTGATTCACCATATCATATAACTTTATTTTTTTTGGACACCGAGTCTTGCTCTGTCATCCGGCTGGAGTGCAGTGGATCTCGACTCACTGCAACCTCTGTCTCCCAGGTTCAGGCAAGTCTCCTGCCTCAGCCTCCTGAGTACCTAGGACTACAAGCACGTGCTACCATGTCCAGATGACTTTTTTAAAAAGTTTCAGTAGAAATGAGGTTTCGCCATGTTGGCCAGGCTGGGGTCTCGAACTCCTCACCTCAAGTGATCCCCTTGCCTTGGCCTCCCAAAGTGCTGGGATTACACACAAGAGCCACTGTGCCCAGCCCATATCATATAACTTCTAGATGACCCACTTCCGTCCTTTCTTCCCAAATTTTGGCATAAAATGTTTGAAAAGAGCTTTCTTTACAGAAAACTTTCATTTAACCAGTAAAACCTGTTATTTTGATGACAGACACCATTAGTTGCAAATCCACAGCTGTCTTTCAGGTCTTTCCTGCTAGAGAGTGGCTGGCTTGTCTATATATTCTTTGACTGTGGTGGCAGGAGCTGAAGATAGGAAGTTACTTAGGATACAGTAAACTAGGTTAAGGCATTAGTATGGCTTGGTCCAGGAAAGGAGAAGTGGGGGTATGAAAAGTGGTCATATTCTAGATTTAACTTGATGGTAGAGCAAAAGGGATTTGCTGATGTGAGAGAAAAAGAGGAATCAAGGATGGCATTGAAATTTTGGCCTAAGCCTTATGATAGAGTTCTCGCTAACTGAAATGGGGAGGATTGTGGAAGGAGCAGGTTTTGGGGGAAAATTTAAGAAATTCATTTCGGTCACACCATGTTCAAGAAGCTTATTCTGAGTCTGCAGTTCAGCATACAGGTTGGAAATATATTTGGAAGCTGTCAGGATAGAAATGGCTTTTAAAGTCATGGGACTGGCCGGGCGCGGTGGCTCAAGCCTGTAATCCCAGCACTTTGGGAGGCCGAGGCGGGTGGATCACAAGGTCGAGAGATCGAGACCAACCTGGTCAACATGGTGAAACCCCGTCTCTACTAAAAATACAAAAAATTAGCTGGGCATGGTGGCACGTGCCTGTAATCCCAGCTACTCAGGAGGCTGAGGCAGGAGAATTGCCTGAACCCAGGAGGCGGAGGTTGCAGTGAGCCGAGATCGCGCCATTGCACTCCAGCCTGGGTAACAAGAACGAAACTCCGTCTCAAAAAAAAAAAAAAAAAAAAAAAAAAAAAAAAAGTCATGGGACTTTGCTGGGCGCAGTGGCTCACACCTGTATTCCTAGCACCTTGGGAGGCCAAGGTGGGCAGATTGCTTGAGTCCAGGAGTTCAAAGCAGCCTGGTTAACATGGCAAAACCTTGTCTCTATAAAAAAATACAAAAATTAGCCAGGCATGGTGGTGCATGCCTGTAGTCCCAGCTACTTGGGATGCTGAAGCAGGAGGATCCTTTGAGCCTGGGATGCAGAGATTGCAGAGAGCCGAGATCGTGCCATTGCACTCCAGCCTGGCAACAGAGCAAGACCCCGTCTCAAATAAATGAATAAATAAATAACACGGGACTAAGTGAGATCCTCTAAGAAGTAAGTGTGCACAAAGAGGCAGAGCAAGGTCTAAGTCTTAGGAGGTCAAGGAACAAAGAACAAATAAGGATCCTAAGAAGGAACAGCCAAGTGCAGCAGAAGTGGAACTAAGAGAATGCTGTATTCTGGTGTGTCAAAGAAAGACAGAACCATCAATTCTGCTGATGCGAGGAAGGTGAGGGCTAGATATTGACTACTAGATTTAGTAACATGGAGGTTATTGGTGAACTTGACAAGAGTCTCATTGAAGTACTGGGGAGAAAACACAGTTGTAGTTAGAGGAAGAAAAGAATTAGGAATGTCAATTATAGTGAATATCAACATAAATTATGAAAATATAAAATGTACTATATTTGTGCTGATTCTTGTCTGAATGATATATTAATAAATGCCTTGGAATGGGAGATTCTGGGTGGCCAAGGCTAGGCTTTCTTTTCTTTTCTTTTTTTCAGAGACAGGGTCTTATTCTCTCACCCAGGCTGGGGTAGCATGATCATAGTTCACTGTAACCGTGAACTCTTGGGCTTAAGCAATCCTCCTGCCTCAGCCTCCTGAGTAGCGAGGACTACAGGTGTACGCTACCATGACTGGCTAATTTTTGCTGTTGTTATTATAGAGATGGGATATCCTTATGTAGCTCAGGCTGGTCTTGGACTCTTGGGCTCAAGTGTTCCTTCTGCCTTTGAGGGAATGTGTTCTCTTTCCGGGTCCACAAGGGCGCGTAGTTTTAAGGGCAAGAACTTCCCAGCGCCATGCCCCACACCCATCTCTCTCCATCTGGGATATTTAATGGTCTCTGTTTTAATTTTCGTGGGCGTGGGAAGAATCAA